CGGGGAGGAGTTGCAACACTCCCCGCGACTGCATCCGTTCTGCGGTGGTATGACTCACGGCAAATTGCAGCCGCGGCGCGCACTTGATTGTATGCACTGTATATTGTTATGGCATTTATTTTATTGATGTATTGTTTTGTGATTATTCTCTTTGAAAAATATTAATTTTGGTAGGACCTGTTTCAGTTATCAGATTAGCAAATCCATGAAATGGTGTGGCTTCATGCTTATAATCCAATTATATAATCCAAATATGGTAACATTAACCGTGAGGCACAGTCCTTCTAAACTTCAGTGAGACCTGCAGTTAAAAACCAATATGAGTTAGTTGAGCATTGTCAGGATAGACTGGACTATTCAAGTTACTGAAGGTAACATGGCTGATACACACAGTCTAGGTCAGGCCTGCTAGTGTTTTTGGTTGTGCTGACAGCTTCTGCAAAATTTGGTGTGTATGCAGGCAACATGAAATTCAGTGCATAAAATGCGAAATATGTAAGTATACATATAATTATGTGTATACTTATCAGCATATGGGGGCACGCGGTAGCATAGTTGATTGAGGCACTATGCTACAAGCCGGAAGGTCGCGGGTTCAAGTCCTGATGAGGTCACCAGATTTTTTTCAATTGACCTAATCGTTCCAGCCGCACTATGGCCCTGGGGTTGACTACCAGGAATATTCTTGGAATATTCTTGGGGGTAAAGGGTGGCCAGTGCATAGGGCTGATGACCTTGCTGCCATCTATGAGCTGATTGTCTAGAAAGTGTGGGAACCTCAACATTTTACACCCCTGTGGGCATCCATGGTCTCTTACAGATATACCTTCACTTTACTTTTTCTTTACTTATCAGCATATCGTAGCATGTAGTACTGTTGGTATTCAACAATTACAAGAAGGAACATGTGTTGCTTGGTAACGGCCGCTAAACACGTTAATGATACCTGAAATGTTGCTAGGCAGCCGCCCTTAACAAAAACAGAGGAACTGTTGGAGGCGGTGTTTTCTTTTGGATCTTCCCTGAGGCCATATAGCTAGGACTCCAGGCCAGCTGAGAGAGTTTAGTTGCTGGAGATGTGCTGGACAGTAACAATGTGAGCACAAAAGATGAATCTCCAGCAGCAGGAGAATATAAGGAGAAGGGGGGGAGTGGGAGAGATTTTTTATCGATATTCGCATTCCAGGAAACAAACATTGGATTTAGTAGTCATGTATGGTGTACTGTCTGAAATGTATTAGTTATGGAGAAGCCTTATGTTTCATTTATATGGCATATGACAGTACTCTTATATGTTGCAGCCTTCAGTGTCCGTGGGAAATGCTGCTCAGCTTGCTGTCGATCTTCTTATAACTAAAATAAAACCACAGAAAGTTGGATTGATTTGGCATCCTGCCATTATGCCATTGGTGGGGGGAGATCCATACAGTTTAAATGAAACCGCTTTGACAACAAGTGCTGAAGGTAAGGGACATAAATCATTAGACTGCTATAGCATAGAATAGTGTAATGGCATTCTTTGTGCAAAGTGAACATGCATGAAGTGGTATCTGCTGGTGTTGATGCTTCATGTGTGTAACTGCTGAATTTTGATGCACTTAGATATTTTAGGTATGTACAGTAGAGTCTCAATTATCAGTGACAAGATTATCCAATTTGCAAATTAACTGTGGAACTTTTAGAACCCCCATTATTATTATTATTATTATTATTATTATTATTATTATTATTATTGGAGGGGGTGGGTTTCCCCATGCACCATGACTAATAGTCTATTGTATGTCCCCCTTTGATATTCTACCAGTCGCCATACCCTACCGGTACTGGTGTGTGCTATCAGCCCCGTTCAGCCAACGAGGTCGGCCCTCGGTACCTTGATACTTCTCCCATCTACCAGAGGCGTTGGAAACTACTTGGGTGGGAAACTTGCCTAATTTTGCTCAGAGGTCTCCTAGAGACATGAGGATCTTTTACATGTCGTAAATCTATGACACGGGACCCACGGCTTAAAGTCCCTCCCAGAGGACTTGTTCCCTGAATTTTTCCGCCCTTAAAAATTCCACGACCCCTGCTGGGTTTGAACCTGCGTACCTTGAGTCTAGAACCCCCATAGTTGTGGATTATAGCTTTCCATAATAATTTAGTTGTTGCTTGTTATGTTTTGTTGAGATTCATTGAGGGTGCTTGACAACATTTTGCATTAGACTGCATCTTCTCACCCTGTTGCAAATTTTTGTTTTATCACTTTATTGAATTTTACTCCATCCTGCTCCTACCAGCACTAAACTCTTCGGTTTGAAAGATATTTTGTCCTAACTGTTTGGCAGAATTCATACCAAGATAGCAACAAGAAATTAGAAATTTGTGGTGAGCAATCAGTGATATTCAGTATCTTATCACATATATATTCACACAAAGGAAACAAAAATATTTTATAGTTTGTGAATAAGTTTTGATAAAGTGGTCATTGCATATGACATGTTGCAGAAAATATGGAATAGCACAAACGGAGGTTAAAGACCTGTGAATATTCTTATTTTACATTAGTAATTGAATTCAGGAGCTCTGTACCATGTTCATCAGAAACATGCCATTGTGAATAGTCTGAAATGGGATAGCTGTAGAGGCATCAATAGTTTTCTATAATTTGCATTGTTCTTCTGAGACATAATTATTACTGAGGGAAAACTATTGCAACAGCAACCATGAGGAACAGGCAATATAAATTGTTAGATGACAGAGGAAAGAAGTTTGGGTGATCTCTGCTCTATATCACTTTGGGGTATTTCAAATTTCATTACACAGCGTTTCCACCATGACTGACTGTCATTAAAATACATTCATTTCCTAAAAGCGATATATATTTGCAGTTGCTAGTTGTCTGTTGTGTAGCATTAGTTGACTGTTATATGCTACTAATTGCTTTGGTGTGAATTCTGTCTTCAGTGACAAGTAGCATGATCATTAAACTATACTGGTTTTACACGGAGTTTGTTTTCATACAATACTTAAGTAAGCAGAGTTGTTAAGCGGCCTCCGTAGTCTAGAGGTAATGTTCCCACCTCATGACTCGTAGTACGCGGGTTCAAATACCTGGCGGAGGTTGTCGAATTTTTAAGGGCGGAAAAATTCAGGGAACAAGTTCTCCAGGAGGGACTTTAAGCTGTGTGTCCCATGTCGTAACTTTACGGCACGTAAAAGAACCTCATATCCCCAAAGGGGATCACTGAGCCAAATTCCAGGACGTTTCCCGCCCAACAATAGTCTCTAAGGCCTCTGATAGATGGGGGAAGCATTATAGACACCGCTAAGCAAGTGGCCAAACTCGCTTGCTCGGCAGGACTGATGGTACGCACCATTTACCGGTATGGTATAGAGACTGGTAGAATATCATAGAGGGAAGCACAATAGATCAAACTGGTCGCGGTGCATGGGGGAACCCACCCTCTCTAAATAACTAACTAAACTAACTAAGCAGAGTTGTTGTAGGCACAATATTTAATTTCATATTTTAGTAATGGAGTGTTCGTTAACCTTTCGCAGTTAATTTTGAGTTTGTGCAGTTTTTATTTTTTTTTTCCCCCTTTCTGTTTGATTGTTAACTCTATATTATAGGCATTTTGTTTTCTGGTGTCTGTGCATTTGAGGGCTTTATTTAAGAATTTATTTCTTATTACAATGAAAATGTAGTGATAGTTTTAATAAGGAGGACTCTTTTATGCACTTATCTCATTTTGATTAGTTTTTTACATAACCCTCTCTTCTGTAACATCACACTTTTAACATACAAAATTGTGTTCACATTTACAGAAAGTGGTGAACATAAAACTTGAAACATTCATCTTTCAAGTATATTCTGAAAATATTTTTAAAGCACACTTTGCTGATGTTAGAGGTTGAGCATTTTCTTAGAGCAATTTTGTTTTTCTTGTAATAAGGTGGTTCAAATAGACATTTTCTTGCGATGTATCATATATAAAATAATTTTCTAGTAATCATATGTTTATAGGAGCCCATAACAAATTCTCTAAATATGAAATAGAGTTCTTTTTTTTCCAGTACAGGCAGGTAGAATAAAAACGTTTTTATTCTGTGAAGTTCAAGTTCTATTTACAGTTTAAAATTATTTTAGATTTATTTTGAAATAATATGTAGCTCCTACTGAAGGTTCAGATATTTACATAATGTGATGGTTGGGGGGGGAATGCCTTGATTCTGATGGATTCACATTTTTTAACCCCCCTGAATATGAAAAAGTGGGGTTTGAAGTATTGTGTATGTCAGACATGTGTGTTAGTAGTGCTGACTATTGGATGGATTTTATTTGTGTTCAGTATTCAAGAGTTTATCTCTCATAAGGTGGTGCCTAGTGAATATGAATAGTCCAGCCCCCAGAATAGATGCACTTCAAATGGACCCCAAGACACAAAATTGCAATTTTATCAAAAGCAGCTTTAGTGATTGTGATTACATTTGTGTGATATATGGAGACTAATTCTCTAAATAGGTGGTCTCTGTATGAAAGTAATAGTGCACACACTAGGAGTGTAAATGTATCATGTCATTATTGTAAAAACTGGCTTTATTAGTCAAATTGATTCCATTGTCCAGTATTCAGTAACCAGCAGTGACCTACTGAGCAACAGTCAGTTTCTTTCCAAGGTAAAGTAGTTGTCAGCCATACATGATTAAATGTGTGCACTGCCTGCACAAATTTTTTTCTGGAAGATATTGACAAAAGCAGGTACCCTAATTCTGTATTTCAGCATTCTGTTGCACATCTTTAATTAAAAGTCTGTGTATCAAGTCTGTCAGTGATACAACAATTATTAAAATACTCACCATTTAACACTAACATGACATGTTTTGGCCACAGACGGCCATTCTCAGGTGTTTCAATGTGTCAAAACTGTTACACTGCTTTGATGCACACAATTTTAGCGCGCATCAAAGCAGTGTAACAGTTT